GGGCCATGGTCGCATGTCTAAGTATCTTATGATTATGTACCTAACATGTGCAAGATAAAAATGTGTTAACTAGATTAATAAGTTATGATATGTGTTAAAGCATGTTTTAAGTACTTGGTTTCATACACATGTGTTTAATTTACAATTGTTATATAACTGCATAGGGTAGGTTTTACCTTGGTTATTAAGTGGCTAGACTCACCCCTCTTCTTTAACCCTTTTCAACCTCTAGCTTTGGTGCAGAGAGGAGAAGGCTCAAGAAGCTAGAAATTAGTACATTCCTACTATATGCCTCCAATTTATTTTTATTTTGTGTAATAGAATATGAATGCCAATTTTAGATTGCATACCATTACACTTGTACTATTTTGTTGTTGTGAATATCTGAGTTGTATTTTGGGCCCTAAGTATTTGTGTATGATGATATATATTTATTGATAGGGCCAAAAAATTAGTGTAAGTGTAGAAATAATATTTTGAACATATTGTGATTTGGTTTTGATGCAATGTAAAGCAAATTATCTCTCTTTTTTGTTTTAGTTGAAAAATGGGTTAAGGAGTGATTTTATGTTATATGGATATTTAAGTGCACATGACATGTTATACTAATAGTCTTAGGTCTAATGGACATGGTCCAAGTGTTAGGAAAAGCTTTTGGCACTTATTGTGGGTTTTGGACACCTTTTTTGTGTAAAAGTTGTGAAAAGTGGTCAAAATATATTTGGGTATCCAACTTCTTGGTGTGACTTGTTTTGAAAGTGAAAAGAGTTTTCCGTAGACACCTAAATCATGTCATTCGAACATCAGATGGAGAATTGGGATGTATCGGAGGTTCCTCGATTTTGTTGTCAAATAATTACAGAATCTGCTGATATTTTTGTGTAACATGCCGCGGTGCATGGTGCCTGAGCCATGGCGTGTGGCACAGAGAGCAACATGCCGCGGCACAAGGTGTACAAGCCTTGGAGCATTACCCTGTTTCACAGCGTATAAGTTGTTTTTCAATTGTTTTTATTCTTTTTCACTTTTTTGAGGTATCGTATGCTTCTGTATCTTGTTTTTACTCTAATATAAGAGTTTGATTGTTTTAAACTTATTTTGATTATGAAAACTTGGGATCCCTTAATTTTAAATTAAAAAATTAGTAATTTCCTTTATGGGTTAATCTTTTGATTACCATGAGTTTTATTGGTTAATGCTGTTTATTAGAGTGAGATTTTATAATTTGATATCAGTTTCTCTGGTTCTAGGAACTGGTCTGTGATTTGTAAATATGTCATTAAGATTTGTTGTGCATTGCATATAGAGAATTGGCAATATCCTATTACACTTGTTATTTCCCTTATCGAGCTAGTACTAACTCCCCTTTCTTTATTGGAATTGCTTCCATCCTAAGAGAGGAGAATATAGTGCAAACAAGAGCTACAAAGGTCAAAAAGCACCAGAGAATGTGTATAGACTGGTGAACTAAGAGCAACAACCAGAACCTTAACAGGGTAACAAAGACAATGCCTTGGATGAACTGAGGTGTATAATGAGAGACATCTAGAGAAGAATGGATGGTTATGATGAGATCCTTAGAAAGAGACCTGAGGAGAGCAGCAAGACTGTGGAGAGAGTTGGGGTTGACCATGAGGAAGCCCAGAATGATATGCACATTGAGGTGCATGGGCAAGAAGAGGAAGAATACTATGAGGAAAGTATTCCTGAGAAGCTAATGCATCTAGTGCAGTCTAGGACAAGCAAGTCGGAAGGCTCCATTGTTATGGCTTTACAGCGAATCACAAAATTGAATCCTCCTTCTTTTAAGGGTTCTATAGAGGATTGAGCAGCTAATAAGTGGATCAACAAGCTTGAGACCATCTTCTTAGTCATAACCTGTATGACTAAGCATAGGATTCTCTTAGCCACTTTTATGCTTGAGGACACAACGAAGCAATGGTGGGAAAGTGTGAGGCTAATGGACGGCTCACAGTTGACTTGGAGAGAATTCAAGAGGTAGTTTTTTGCCCATTATTTCCTAGCCTCATTTTAAGTAGAGAAAGAGGTGAAATTTTACAGACTCCAACAAGGGAGTATGAATGAGGAGGAGTTCATAAAATGAAGAGGCAGTTCTTTGCCCATTATTGATGATTATTTTGGCAAAGTTTAGGTTTATTTTTACTTAAAAATGAAGCTTTTTCTTATTTCCAAGAGTGGAAAATCTTAGTTGAGAATCAAATGAAAAGAAAGGTTAAAAAGTTGAGAACAGACAATGGGTTAGAATTTTGCAAAAATAATTTTAATGAGTTATGTGCTAATAATGGCATTGCTAGACAAAAGATATTTATAGGAAAGCCTAAGCAAAATGGTATTGCAGAACAAATTAACATGACTCTACTTGAGAGAGCATGTTGTATGCTTTCTAATGCTAAGTTATGGCATTGGCATAACCTATGGGTTGAAGCTACCTCTAGACAATTATTATAATTCTCATTTTCTATAGTGAAATTACTGGCTCATTTCCTGTAGGTTTTTTGTCCCTCATATTGGGGGTTTTCCCATGTTAAATTTCTTGTGTTATCTTTTATCATTTTTCTCTAACTTCTTCGTAATTTCCAGTGTCATCTTTTATCTTATTTACTTTCATGGATTATTTGCACACTTCCTAACAATATCTATAATAGACAAATCATTGATATATAGTTTGAGCTCACCATAGAATTTGACGTCTCCAACATCTATAACAGGCAAATTGTCCAATGAAGGATGCAATGATGAGCTGTTGAATCTCAAACTAGGGCTCGATGATGAGGATGATGACTAGAGTGATGATGAGGATGGTAAGAGTGAGGAAGAGGAAGAGGAAAAAAGTACTGGAGAGAATTGTTGAGCCTAGTGACTAATGCAAGGAAGACAAGGAAGAAGACTGCATATATGGAAATAGTAAAAAGTATCCTAGCAATCATGGATACTAATTTTAAAAATGAAGGAATGACATTATTCCAAAAAATATTTCAGGATACTAATTGCACCTAAGTGAAAATATTAGAGGCAAATTTGTATGTTAATCTAATAAAAAGTGAAGGAGGGAGAGCATGGGTTTTGAGACCATGGATATTGAAAGTTAGAAAGTGGAAAGGAGGAGAGGGTAGGGCGAAGGAGTGGATTAGAACTTACAAGAGTATTTTTGAGGATATAAGGTGCATTATGGGATATTAATTACATTTTTCAATATTATTGTTCCTTAAATTCATTAACTATGAAAGAGAATGCACTATAAAATTGAAAAATTTTCATTTAAATAGGGATAAAATTGAAAATTTATTATATTTTTAGATAAAAATTAATAATTTAAGTACCACTTCTTAATTCTAGTGAGATAGTTGAATGTGCCTTATAATATAAACTAGAGGGAATAATTGTCAATAAACATTTTTATTTTTGTACTTAAGACCAAGAGTCTTCATTGTTATTTAAAGACCTTGTGGTCCTTATATGTAATTATATTCCTTACAGGGTCTTGATTTGTTATTTTCCTTTATTATTTGTCTTTCTTCTTCTTACTAATTATTTTTTATCTTGTGAGACCACGATTTGATGGTCATAACTCATAACTTATTATAAATATTACATTGTGGATATCGATAACTCATACTTCTTAGGATTCCTTTATCATTAATATCCTAATAAATGGCTTAAAACAAGTTTCTTACAGTTAATATCCTCTAACCTTCAAAGGCTATATAATGCACTATTATATTACTTTATCTCTATCCTTTCATGCTCCAAATTTTAAAGCCTTTATCATTAATATACTAATAAAATGCGTGAAGTTTTAAAACCCTTAATTTGTAATTGTCTATGTTAGATTAATAAGTAACATTTGTAATATAATAACAATATATTTGAGATTAACAACGATCTATTATGGTTTTAACAAGTTGAAAAAATTGATAGGAAGTGTTTAGTTGTATGTGCTAGTCATTCATTAACAAGTATTTGTTTAATTTTAACAACAACCTATTCATGATTGATAACAATACATTGGAATGTTTAATAAGTAAAATGAGTGATTGATAACAACAACCAATTATTTTTGAAATAAAACGCTGGAGCCAGAGCTTCGGTGATCGACTACCAGTGACCTCACCGACAACAGGGGCTCCGGTGCCCTTATCACTGGTGGTGGTTTAACGGCTTGCGCCGACGATGGTAGGGGTTTCTTTTTTTTTTGTTTTCCTTAACTTGAGGGGCAATTCTATCATTTTGCTAATGAAATTAATATGAAAGAAGAACCAGAGGACTGCAAAGCAAATACCAGATTATTTGGTCCTTGTGTCATATAAATTTAACACAGAGGTCTTTGGATGCTATTTTCCCAAAAAATTTCTATAACAACTTATGTATAAAATTAAAAGTAATAGATTATGAATATTTCTATGTTCCTTGGTTCAAAAAAATTAAAAATAAAATAAACACTTAGAAATATTTTTTAAAGATAGTGTTTGAATTAGTGAATTCAAATTTGAATTTTAAAATTAAACTCTTGCGTTTAAAATCCTATTTGGGAAGTTTAAACATTTTCAAAGGGAAACAGAAAACCATTGAGATTCAAAGTAAAAAATGAAAATAAAGATTAACAAGCTTGCTTCTATTTTTCAGTAGACAAGAGATGAAAACAAAAAATGAAAAAATATGCAAGAGTGCTAAAGACATTAACAATGAAAAATACTAAGGGAACCAAAGGGTAGAAATCACTAAAATTTTAAATAACTAGAATATATGAATAATTTAAAATTACAAAGAAATAATAATAAGAAATGAATGAATCCATAGATTTTTTAATATCAAAATAAGAGGTTTGGTGTAAATATAATTTTTCATTAATTCAAACACAACATTGTCTATAAACAAAGTTCCATAGTAGAATGAAAACACAAACTCGTAAGTTTAATGACATAACCATACAAGTTTAATAACAACAGAATAAAGGTTCATAAAACCTCATCACCAGCACAAACTCATAAGGTTAATGACATAATCATAAAGTTCAATAGCAAAATAAAGACTCATAAAACGTTGAGTTGATAAAGATTACGTAGCCATAACCTTTTCTTCTCATCACTCAAGTTAAGAAAAATTCCTCTCTCAATCCAGGGTCGCTCTTCAAAATTTTCAAGGTTTTCATATAATCAGATTCTGATATACCTAATTTCGCCATCTTGTCAAGAATAACCATACACTTAGCAAGAGAATATTCTGACGAAGAAGAAGAAGTGACCTCCTTGCTTCTCTCACCTTTATATCTTTCAGCTTTTGCTTTATATGCTTCAGCTTTTGCTTTAGATGCTTCAGTTTTGGCCTTAGATGCTTCAGCCCATGCTGCAAGTGCTTCCCTCAACTCATGACTTTTAGCTATAGTGTCTAACAAAGCTTTAGCTATTAACTCAAGCGACATCTTTGAATCAGTTTCTTCCATCTACCATAAGAATGACAATTAGCCCCAAATACAAAATAATCTTATTGATTAAAGGGGTTAAAAGGAAACTCTTAAACTGTGGGTCGAAAAATGTATGGAACCCTAAACTTGTTTTTCTACAATGCTTTCCCTCAACTTTTAAAAATGGTGTGACATATCCAGAATGACAAAGAAAATTACGTAAAAGGATTAAGAAAATTACAAAAAAATGACTCAAAAATTGCAAATAAGGAACCAAAAAATTATATAAAATGATCGAGAAAATTTTTATTAGTTCTTTTATGTAATTATTGATGTCATTTTCTAGTCAACTAGAAATCACAATTAATTTTTATTAATGGTAAGGGTTACATTATACTGTTTTTAAAGGTTGATGAGACATTCCAAAAAAAAAATTGAGTTTAGGGCCTCAAATACTTTTAAACCTATTGTTTAAAGATTAAATTTCTATTTAACCCTTCGTTAAAACACCCACACAATGAAGTCAAACAAAATATAAATAAATTCATATGAAAACAGAAACATAAACAGAAACAACTCAAGTACAATTTCATGTACCAAGCCATACTAACTGAAAAGCAACCAAGGCTTTCCTGAAAACTGTTCAAAATTTAGAGATTGTTATGGTTGACATGTCGAAATATAATATAATCAATCACAATTATCTTGTTTGAATTCTACTATTGGAAGCAATTACATGTACCAAGCCATTAAAATTACTAGCCTAGATATTTAAGGGAGTACAGAAAGGATTTGGTACACTTGATTTCATTGTATTAAACAATTTCTGGTAGACTTACTATATAAGAACACATCGTCAGGCCACATAATTAAATTATGACATAAACGTGGTAAAATCAAAAACTATATGCAAGTAATCTGCAGAATAAATCGGTTTCAAGATGTGATTATTTTCTATAAGATTTCGCCACAATTATTAATGCATATTAATGTTATAACCTCACCGTCACCGGATCACGAAAGTGAGAGCAAGTTGAGCGAGCGATGGAGGCGCGAAGAGAACCGCGATAGAAACTAAAATAGAGATGCAGAGAAACTGATCGAGGAGCGTGAATTTAAAAGTCATAAAGTTGTGCAAATAATTACTATTATGCCATCCCTTAATTAAAGCAAAAAGACAGTCTTGCTGGTACACAAAAAAAAATGGAGCAAAAAGAGAGTGTTGCTGGTCAAAAACAAAAAGAGAGTGTCCTCAAGTGCGTCATAAAAAAGCAATTAAAAATGTCAAATGAAAAACAAAAACAGCTTTACTATTTTGCCAGGAGAATCTCGTTGCAAGCCCATGGAACCAACATAGCCCAATAAAATTTGATATAATTCTATAAGCTTAAAAGTCTCTCTTGAAATTAAGCTTTTGATTAAAATATGAGCTTGTTCGTTTGTGAAATACACAATAGAATGTCTATAATTAACAACAAATTTTATATATTCATTTTACATAATCCTCACTATCTAAACCTACTAAATGAGAGAAAATTTACAAGTTAACTAAATAATGTTTACAATAAAAACTCTATAAATAACATTCAAATTTCATTTATTAATAACAAAATGATGGTTAATTTTACATAGTTCACGTGGTTTATAATTGTTGAAGGAAAAGCAATTTACAAGTTACTTAGATGAAATTTATAATAAAAACTCCATAAATAACATTCAAAATTCATTTATTCATAATAACACTTCCATTTATTTTATATAGTCCATGTAGTTTATATTCGTTGAAAGAGATTAAATTTATAAATTATCTAAATAAAATTTACAACAAAACGTGCTTCTTATTGCATATCAGTTGGCTAGATGATTTCCCTCTTAGTGAAGTTATGGTTGTTTTATAAGCTGTGGATGTACTTTTTTCCCTCTCTGTGCTGGTTGCGTTTTCTAATTGGCCCTAGTAAAGTTTTCTTCTTGCTTAAGAAAAAATGGAAAAAGTTACATGTTGAGTTAGGCTACATTGTTTTATTTCATATCTCTTCTTTCAAATAAAAAAATCAACGACAGGCTCGTAGATGATTGCGTGTTACTGACTTTACAAAATACTCCTTCCATTATTATTTAGAGGAGAAAAAATTTATATCACATAATTTAAAAAAATTGATCAACTATATTAACTATGTCTGAAAGTAAAAAAATTAGACTACAATACCCTTTATTAATTATGTTAATCAAACCTTCATTAATTATTTTTTATGACTATGAATGATAAAATTATGAGAGGCAATTTAAAAAGCTTGTAATAAATGCTTATTTGAAAAATGTGATTTTACTTATATAAAAAAATAAGTTAAAAGTAATAGTTTCTGAAACCGAGAGAGTAACATCTTGTATTCATTCCCTTTAACCCAAGTCCCATTCACTTGAATGAAAAATAAGGAACATAGAAAAATATTGATGTAATATTAAAGAAAATTGCATCTTTCCCATACAAAAATTGATGATTTTCGGCAACATCAACAAGATCCTATCCTAGTTTACTACTGACTCAGTTTCTCTCCTCCTCGGAATCCTGCCGCCACGTCTCCATTCCTTTGCGTCTCCGGTCTAGCAAAATAAAATATAGACTATTCAAATTTAATCTAGACAATTCAGGTTTATTTTTTATTTTTATTTTATATTTTTTAAAATAAAAACATATAAAAATTTTAATAAATCTGCTTATCAATTTGGATAGTTCATGTTTGATATGGATGGTCCATATTTAATATTAAATATTTTAAGTAGGTTGATTGCACTGTCTAGAGTATATCTGCACTATCTTGAGTATATTCAAATTGATGAGTAGATTTATTAAATTTTTTTTATAATTTTGTTATATTTTTATTTTAATAAATGTAAAATAAAAATAAAACATGAAAAAAATTAATATAAACTATTCATATTAAATTTGGACAGTCCAAATTTAATAGAATGTGGGAGGAGGGAAATCAAGTCATTTTATTTACTCACTTCTCAAAGAGCAATAAGTAGATCTATAACAAACAAATCATCGATATCAATTCAAACAATTTATCATCTGAGATTTTCTTAGAATCTGATGTCAACAGGGTCCAATATCTATAACAAGAAAATTGTCGAATGAAGGGTATGACGATGAGCTGTTGAATCTCAAACTAGGGCTTGATGATGAGATGATGATGACGAGAATGATGGTAAGGACGAGAAGAGTGAGGAAGAGGAAGAGGAAGAAACAGAAAGAGAGAATTGTTGAGCCTAGTGACAATAAATATGAAGACCATGAATTGAATGTGGTTGTTTTGGGCATGAGAACTTGATGGCAAAGTGAAGAAGATGAGGAAGACGAGGAAGAAGACTGCACATATGGAAATAGTTAAAAATATCCTAGCATGCATGGATGCCAACTTTGGAGAGGTTGGAATGACATTATGCAAAAGAAATATTCAGGATACCAATTACACCTAAATGAAAATATTAGGGGCAAATTTGTATGTTAATCTGATAAAAGATGAGGGAGGGAGGGCATGGGTTTTGAGACCATCAATATTGAACGTTAGAAAGTGGAAAGGGAAGAGAGGAGAGCTGAGCAAAGGGGAGAGAGATGAATTTTTAAGGAGTGAATATTTGTGTTTTAGAAACTTAGAATTTAGAACTTACAAGGGTAATTTTAAGGATATAAGGTATACTACGGGTTATGGGGTATTAATTACATTTTTTCAATATTATTCTTATTTTAATTCATTAACAATGAGAGAGAATGCAATACAAAACTGAAATTTTTTATTTAAATAAGATAAAATTTAAAGTTTATTATATCTTCAAACAAAATTAATAATTTAACTACAACTTCTTAATTCTAGGGAGGTAGCTGAATGTGCCTTATAATAGACAATAGGGGGAGCAATTGTCAATAAACATTTTAATTTTTACACTTAAGGATCAAAAATCTTCATTCTTATTTAAAGACCATGTGGTCTGTAATTATATTTTTTATAGGGTCTTTATTTGTTATGTTCCTTTTTTATTTCTTTTTCTTCTTCTTATTAATTAATTCATTTTACCTTGTGAGGCAGCGTTTTGATGGTCATAACTCATAACCTATTATTTATGTGTGTGTGTATATATATGTTTATATTATATTGTGGATATACATAACTCATACTTTTTAGAATTTCTTTATCCTTAATATCCTAATGAATAGCTTAGAAGGAGGTTTTTTACGGGTAATACCTTATAACTTTCAAAGTCTACATAATGCACCATTATATATCTCTTTATTCTTTTTTATAATACTATAATAAGACTTTAATAGTTAAATGCTTATAAATAGAAGTCATGTTCAAAACACATGTGCCTAAAAGAATAAAAAATTTTCCTCCATTGTTTCCTTCCACATTTCTTTTCTTGTCTTGTTCTTCTCTATTCTTCATATTAATTATATTTTATAATACGTTATCATCACAAACTGACTCTGAAAATAAGGTATAAGCTTTTACATTAATATGTGTGTATTTATCGATCAATTTATGTTGTTAATATAATTTATTTTATTTGTTAATATCATATGAATTATTTGCTTTATCAATTAATTTATTTGCTTTATTGTGTTTCTTTATCTTTATTGTGATTTATGTGTTTAGTAAACTTGTTATTTATATTTATATTTCCTTATATTGTGCTTCATTATGAATTATATTTTATAATTTGTTTATGGTTATTTATTTTTTAAATGTTTGTAAGAAGAATTATTTTTTTACAATAATATTTAATTATTTATTATGGTTTATTTTATGAAGTCTAATATTCTAATTGTTATTATTATTTTTGTTTGAATTATGGAAAATCTTATGAAATTTGAATTTATTGCCCTTGATATTATGGAAAAGAATTATCTATCTTGAATGCTGGATGCTAAAATTCACCTAGATGCCAAAGGTTTAGAAAATACAATTTTACTTGGAAATAAAGTAACTAGTCAAGACAAAGCCAAGACAATGATTTTCCTTCACCATCATCTTCATGAAAGGCTAAAAGCTAAATATCTAATGGTAAAAGATCTAATAGAATTGTGGAGTAATCTAAAAGGATGCTTACGTTTTTGAAGATATGACCATTAGAAAACGATAATTTTACCTAAAGCCTAATATAAATAAATGCATTTTAGGCTACAAGATTTTAAAGCGTAAGCAAATATAATTCAACAATTTTTAAAATATGTTCTCAGTTGAAATTGTGCGGTGAGAAAATAACCGAGGAGGACTTAATAGAAAAGACATTGGGTTAAGGAGCAATTTCGCTCTTAAATTACTCTTGGAGGATAATGCTGCCTCTAAACTATTCATCGTAGCGATATTGCTCCTAAACTAATTAAATTGGAGCAATGTTGCCCCTGTTGTTAAAACATCCATTACTGTAACTAGTAAGACCTACTTTTCATGAGTTAAGGTACAATTTTGCTTCTAAACTATTTTTGAAGGAGCAATGTTGGCCTCACCTTTTAAAAATTATAAAATTAAATAAAAAATTATAATAATATTAAATGTATATATAAAATAAATATAAGAAAAAAATTTATAGTATATTAATAAAATATCATAAATTAATAATATTATAAATTATAATTTTATAACTTATTAAATATAAATGGATTTTGGTTAAATTAAATATGAATAGACTCAAAAGTATCTGCATTTACACCTATAACTATCGATTAGAGCCGTCATTAACTACTCGATTTGGACTTAAAAACTATTTTCATGATTGAGCTGGATTAGACAAGAGTTAAGTCGCTATTAAGCTGAAAACCGAAGTTGAACTGGACATCGGAGTGGTTTTTAAAAAATTAAATATTTTAAATATAATATTAAAAAAAGCTTAAATTTTTTTAAAAATAGAACAATTCAAAAATTAGTTCCTACTAAAAGCCATCTTTGTTTTTGAACAATTAACATGTATAAAATATAATTTAAGACTATTTTTTTATAAAGATATCGATAATTATGAGTGTAAATGCAAATACTTTTGAGTCTACTCATATCTTATTTTTATTTA